CAAATACTAGCCTAAAGCCACTCTTACTTAACAAAGCTCCAGATACCAAGTTCTTGGGGATATCGAGAACATGCAGCTCATCGATGAGTGTTACTTCTTTATCTGATGTCAACTTCAGCACTACTTTACCTAGACCAACAACTTTTGATGTTATTGAGTTGCCCATGAATAGTTGCCATCCATTGATAGGAGTGTAAATTGAAAACATCTCCTTATTAGTATAAACGTGACGAGTAGTGCCAGTATCAACGAACCATTCTCTCGGATTGTCCACCATATTTACTTCAAATATAACAACTGAGAGCATTAGTTCAGACGCAATGTTAGACAATCTATATTTCTCGGTCAAGTGTACTTGATCTTTTTTGTTTTGCTTTTTCTATCGCAGTCCTTTGCAATGTGACCAGGCTTACCGCAGTTATAGCAATCTCCTTTGAATTTCTTGACATTGCTCTTTTGCTTGCCATTACCTGAGTGCTTCCTTTTCTTGTTTTCTTGCTAGTATTTGGTTTCACCAAATTGACTTTAGCCTCCATTTGCAGCTTTCCAAATTTCTTTTCAGAATTGCGATTATCTTCTTCAATTTTTAATCATACAATTAGATCTTCAAGTCTCATTTCTTTGCGTTTATGTTTCAGGTAGTTCTTGAAATCTTTCTACATTGGTGGTAATTTTTTGAAAATCGCAGCGACCTGAAACGACTCACTGAGCTTCATACCTTCTGTATATCGTGCAAGATGATTTGTAACTCTTGGACTTGATTTATTACTGTTTTAGAATCTACCATTTTGAAGTCTAGCAATTTGCCTACAACGAATTTCATCAATTTGACATCTTCCGTTTTGTACTTCTTTTCCAATGACCCCCACAGTAATTTAGTTGTCTTGATCGAATTGTATACACTGTATAGTGTGTTGTTAAGGCAATTGAGGATGTAGTTCCTGCACAAGAAGTCACTATGACTCCATGCATCAAATGTTGCTCATTTTTGAGAATTTGTTTCCTCCTCCTCAATGGTTGGATATCTTCACTCAAGAATTTTACAAAATTTAGAGTCATGAGATAAAACAACATTTTCTATTGTCATTTCTTAAAATCCACTCCAGTGAATTTTTCTGATTTCTCCCTGTGAGCATTAATACGGTGTACAGAAATGTAGTATTACTTGGCATTATCGTCTTAAAATTGTTGGCAGATAATAATATTACCTTAAATTGATTTGGGCAGAATTATGACTTGCAAAAATGAACGATATAAAATGTTAATGGTTTAGGCAAGAGTTCGACTCTTTCTCTTTAAGACGACAATGCCCGCCACTGATACTGACGGTATTCCGACACTCGTCTCCCAAGATACAACGACCTCGACTTGTTATAGTAGCACTCCAAAATACAAGACCCCGCGAACGTACTCACGTTTTTATCTCTTTAAAATTGGAGGACTGAAATGCACGAAAATAACTTTCGATACCGAATTGCAAAATATGGAATAATGCAGAGATAAATGAATATGATTTTAAAGAAGATTAAAATCAGAATTGATTTTGGAATGAATGAAAATCGGAGTATGGGAACCTTTATATAGAAGTTGAAAAGTTGTATCCAAAAGACACAATAATCGAAAAATTGTGTCTTCAACAAACACAACCTGTTTGGACAGACAGTTTAACTGTCAACCGCCATCTTCTAGAAGAAACCACGAGTTGCACACAGAAAATTCGAGAAAAATAAATAATATAAATAAAAATATTATTATTTTAAATAATAATAAAATAATATAATTAAAATATTTTTTTTACCAAAAATATATATTAACTTGGCCCAAGCCCAAGACCACGACCCACGACCCGTGCCCGTCGGATGACAGTAAGCACGTGTGGGCTTTGGTTCAACCTACTAGCATGTACGTTCTCTCCCCTTCAAAACTATTGATACTCTTTGAAGCCCAAACCCAAATTCCAAACTTGAGCAATATAAAGTGATTTCTATTTTTCTAGATGTAGAATTGGCATTTTTTCAATTTTTCACCAATTTTTATTTTAATTTATTTCAACTTCAAGTGGTCATCTTTTGATTTTAATTTCTCATTAATCCTAAATTAGTTTTGAGAAATTAAATATATTACATTAATCTACTCATGGGGTAGAACACACTCAGCCAAAGATATCTTTTGTCCAACTAATGGGATCTACTAAAATAATTGGTCAAAAACTGGTCAAATCGTCTAATAAAAATCAAATTTTCCCAACAAAACCAACTTGCTTTAATAGTGAAAAATATTTGTGTATTTCACGAGATACAGTAATCAATAGCACAACAAAAACTTCATGTATCAAATTTATTTGAGTTGTTTCGAGATTGTCATAATTATTTTGCCAAAAAGCTCATGCTATGCTACAATTACTTAAAATCATTTTGATAATGCTATATTTACGAATCATTACCTTTTCGACACATTTAATGTTTGTTTGGATAGATTTTTCAAGTGAAAAATGTTTTTATGAGAACACGTGGTTAAAATGTATGAAAAAAAAAATTATGAATCTCATAAAATATGTACTTTAAATGATTTTGAAGATAATTAATTTTTTGAAAAATTTCGCGTAAAAAAATTCTAAGATTATTATTATTAAGAGCAAGAAAGTTGAAAATGGGCCCGTTCCTCATCCCAAAGAGAATTAGAATCTAGCCGAAATCCACTCAAGTTTTTAGCATTAATTTGCGTATGGTAGATCACTCTTTGTCATTGGTTAGAAACTCATGAATTTATGATTGATGAATCTTTTTTTTTTTTCGTGTAAAGGGGTGAAGTAATTGTGAATTGTTTGTAAGAAAACGATCATATTCCCTCATTTATAATGATTATTAATAATATTAAGAAAAAACAATTAATTTGATTATTATACTTTTTAATTCAATCCATCAAATTTGTCGTTGGACGTTTCCAACTTTAAACAACGACCTCATTAACAACGAATCGAACTTATTGAACGCAACTTTTTAGTGGTTAAATAGATAGAAATCGTTTATTCACCTCGGACTGCAGTGCTAAAAATTTGAAAGGATTAAGATATGGTGCTTCTAAGAATTCGGTAATTTGGAAAAAGAGTTGAAAGACTTACATGGACATTATTCTATAATTAAAGGCTCCATATCACCGACTAGGCTTGTTTATTTTTAAATCTTAAAAAATACAAAATTGCTTTTTAAGTCCACTAGGTAATGTGCCTTAACGTGCCTTTCAAGTGATTATTTGACGCAAAGTGGAATGATTCCCGTCAATTTGTCCTTAGGTGCACTGAAAAAGACATTTTGGAGGTCTAAATGCTACAGAAAAATAAATGTGGACTTAAGAATGACAAGTGGTAATGTTTGGGGAAATGTGGATTAGAATTTCCTATAAATAAAATGGTATCAAAGTAAAAAGAGAACGCCGTTGCCGGGGATCGAACCCGGGTCACCCGGGTGACAGGCGGGAATACTCACCACTATACTACAACGACTTTAATGATTTTCTCAGGTAATTTTATAAATATATAACAGATAAGAAATTTATGTAAGTCTTGTTTCATACCTTAAATTATTCTCAGAATATTCGATATCAACACTACATCAAACTATTTTAACTATCTCAATCGTCAGGTTAGATGCTTGAACGGTACTTTTTTTTCTTAATGGGGATAACATTTTAACGAGAGTTTCGATGCGCATGTACATGTTTGAAGTTAGAAACATGTAAACTTTGTATGTCGGTTGAAAACCCTACTATGCTTTTATGATGTGCACCATCTAATATATCGACTAAGTATAAAAACAACCACAGACATTAATAAATATATAACTTGCCTATAAGCAGTGGCAAATCCAGGAATTGTCGTGAGCTAGGGCAGTCGTGACATGCGCAATAGTGATATCGTTTGTTAATATTTAACTAAATAATATAAAAAATTCTCCAATTAATATATAGGTGCACAAAAACATAAAATCATATAAATATGAAAATATATTCCAATATAGTACAATCCTATATTATAAGAAATAGGTTGAGACTTTCATTTAGCTTGAAAAAATCGATTATAATCTATTAACAAATCAACATATAGAAATCATGAATCTTTAAATCACCAATTCAATATAAATAAATCATAAATATATAAAATTATAAATCACCCATTCAATATATATACATCACAAATCAATATATATAAATTCCAAAGGGTAATTGGCGCAAAACGTCCCTACCTTTGAAGGGTTGCGTGGAAAACATCCTTACGTTTGATTTTTTGGCGCATATCGTCCCTACCTTTCAATTTTATTGTAGAAAACATGCATATCTTTCTTTTTTTGGCACAAAACGTCCCTACCTTTTGCATTTTTTTGCACTGGACATCCTTTACACATTTTTTTAATTGAAAATGATCAATATACCCTCATATGTAAATAGAATAAGAAAAGAAAGAAAAGAAAAATAAAAAAAATTACAATTATAGGCCTGAACTTTTTAAAATGTGCAAATAACCATCATATCTTTCAAAATCCAACTTAAAAAATCAGATGCAAGGTTTGTTTCAAATTTTAAAATTCAGATTATAATTAAAATTTTTAATACTAATAATAATATTATAAAATTAGTTTAATTTACATAAACATCCTACACCATTAACCCTAATCATTTTCCTCTTCCTTCTCTTTCTCTCTGCCTCTTCCTTCTCTCATCTCTTTTATCACACCGCCAATTCCTCTCGTCCGCCTTCGATTGTGGGCTTGCACGGTGGTTTTGCTACGCGAGACAGTGTCACGGCTTGATGAGGCGCCGCGATTGTGGGCTGCAAATATTTTGCTCGATGAAGATTGGGTTAATGGAGATTTTAACTAGTAATTATTTGCGGGGTGAAATGAATCAAATTCGATTCCATCTGTATCTTCTTCAGTCTCTTTCCGTTTTTCACCTTCAATTTTCGATAGCAAAAGGCCCCTCTTGTTCGTCGGTTCAGCTTCAGTGGAAGCACCACCTACATCTGGAGGACTTGCTCCTGCAATTTCTTTGACAGATAATGCATTGAAGCACTTCAATAAGCTAAGGTCTGAAAGAAATGAAGATTTTTGTCTAAGAATTCGTGTTAGACAAGGAGGATGTTCTGGCATGTCTTATACCATGGATTTTGAGAACAGAGAAAATGCTAGACCCGATGATTCTTTTATTGAATACAATGGATTTGTTATAGTTTGTGATCCAAAAAGCCCTCTCTTCCTATATGGTGTGCAACTGGATTATAGTGATGCACTGATTGGGGGAGGCTTTAATTTCAAGAACCCAAATGCTACACAAACCTGTGGCTGTGGTAAATCATTTGCTGCAGAGATGTAAGGTTGCGTACTATAGAATCTAGTCTAGAATTGGTATAATGTAAAAACTTGGTTGAAACTTATTCAACTTGATGGATGTATATTCGGCGGTGTTAGTCACTGCAATGCTGAAGGAAAAAAAAAAAAAACAAGATTATCACTACCATGTTTGTTTATTTTGTCAAGATTTGATTTTTATGTCATATATTGCCATTCTTTCTCTAGTAGATTGCTCACCAGATAAAATTCTTTCTCCCCCTCTGAGAATTAGGGGTTCCGATTTTGGTTGGGGGGGGAGGGGCGCGATTGGGGAAGATGAACAGTAGTTTTTAAAAATTATTTAATTGTTTTATCATGAAAATTTCAAAATAGACCATTTTGCCCCTGATTTAATTTCAAAATAATGACATTATGGATGGAATCTCTAATTTGGACCGCATATGCAATTATATATAAAGGTATGGTGGTTATTTGCACATTTTAAAAAATTCAGGCCTATAGTTGCAATTTATTTTTTATTTTTCTTTTCTTTCTTTTCTTGTTCTATTTACATAGGAGGGTATATTGATCATTTTCAATTAAAAAAAATGTGTGAAGGACGTTCAGTGCAAAGAAATGCAGAAGGTAAGGACGTTTTGTGCAAAAAAATGAAAGGTATGGATGTTTTATACAATAAACTTGAAAGGTAGGGACGTTATGCGCCAAAAAATCAAACGTAAGAATGTTTTCCACACAACCCTTCAAAGGTAGGGACGTTTTGCGTCAATTACCCAATCCAAAATCAGGAAATCACCAATTCAACATATGAAAATCACAAATAAATATATATAAATCACAAATCTTTGAATCGCCAATTTAATATAATCTGTAAAATTTGTAAATCTCCCATTCAATATATGTAAATCACAAATCAACAATCTTTAAATCATTTATCAAAATAAAAGGATTGGATAAGAATAGGAGTCACCCAAAATCCAAAAACTAAGTCGCTGACGGAAATGGGGTGGGGTAGGGCGAAGATAGTAGCTGTCGGCGGAGGATGACGATGCACCGGTTGTTCACGTACTTGTTGGAGAGTTCATTGCTCACCCACAAATTTAGATTTGGGAACCGAACGGGGTTTTCAATTGTTGGTTTAGGAGATGTGACAACAAGATAGAAGGCTGACTACGTTTTAACTTATTGTCAATTCATAATATTAATGGGCCTAATTAATAAAAAAGGTCAAAAAAAAAAAATTGCCCAAAATTTCCTAGAAAAAATTGGCCCAAGTAAGAATCATCATCTTCCTCCCTCCAAGCTCCAAGCTTCCCTGCAACAATGGCAACCGCAAGTTTGCAATGCCAACACAGTCTCCCTCCAAATCCAACTTGTAAATCTCGACGGATTCAGCAAGGGAGGCCCACCACCACCTCGCCCGGTGATAGATCTATCACTGCCTATAAGTAGAATCGTCGAATTGACATGATGATCATTGAAAATTATATCATTTTGCAGATCATTACCCCAGCCTAACAGAACTCAACAATTCAAACTAAAGATCCTTTGGCGAAATTGAAGGACATAATTTTAATTCAAAAATTCTAGTTACAATAATTTTTTAATATGCATTAAATATGCCTAAAGAGGTATTGCAAGTTAACAGCAAATGCCGAAAATGACCATTATCACACCACGAAAAAAGGAGCAATTGTCCTAGCATTAAACAATCGATACTAAAAATTGGATGTTTAGTAAATTTTGAAAGGTCGTTGAAATGTGTGGACTGAAAAATTGTGAATCCCATGAAATGTGTTTTTTAAAATGAATTTTAAGAAATAGGATCAAACAGGGTTTAAATGCAGTTGCATATTTGGTGTGCCGAACTACACAATACAAGTCGGTAATTAAAACAAAAATAGTGATAATATTATCTATTAGGACAATTCTGCAAGTACAGGACCGAGGCCTCACAGGCCTCTCACATGTGGGGCGGACCCCACATGTGTTAAAAAAAAAAAAAATTGCCCGACCCCACCTGATGTGTCTGCCCGGGCATTACCCTGTAAAAAATGCTCCTGTACTCCAATCACGACCCTATCTATTATCATTTATGATACTGACTAACACTATGTACCAAACGAATTCTATGTACTGGCCTGTGTAGTGTTGTAGGCTGTCCCACCTAGCAAATACGCTCTTAAAGACCCCTCCATATGCAATGAATTTACAACTTCCTTCTGTTGGCCAACCTTCAAAATTCTCTCAAAGTCCGAACATGTGGAACTTCACGTGTACAACAATCGTAGAATTGAGTGTTAGCTCATTCTCCGAGCATGTCTTCGTTTCCAATATACGAGCAGCTCTGATGATTTGCATCAATGCAGACTGTGTCCAGGGCCGTACCTGTGTTTTGCGGGGCCTGAGGCGAACTTTAAAATTTGGGCCCCCCAAGTCATAAAAGACAATCCCCCTTTTCTTTTAAAAGAGTATTACGGAACTAAATTTGTTAACTTAAATTCAACAATAAATCAACAAATAAAACTAAAATATTCAAAATATTTATTTTGCAATCAAGTAGCAATACGAAAATGTTCTAATCGATCATTTAAATATAACTCGTCTTACAGTTTTCGAAGCAAAAATATCAATCAGTTTTGTATAGTCGAGTTGTTCAACCATTTCTTTTTCAATGGATAACATGGCCAATCCATTCAGTCTTTCTTGCAACATAGTTGAACGGAGATAAGTCTTGATCAATTTCAACTTGGAGAAGCTTCTTTCTGTTGATGCAACTGTAACTGGTATAGTGAGCAAAATCTTGTAAGCAATGCTAGCATTTGGAAAACAACCATCCATTTTGTTCAAGTAATTTAGCACATCAATAGCTCTTTTTGTTTCTTCAGGTAAATAGCACTTCAAAACTAACAACTCCATACAGAAGTCATCACCAATAATGTCTGAATGTCCATTATGGTTCAGATATTGCTCAAGATTCATACAAGATTTCAACAAACTATCAAAATGCATACTTTTTAATCTCTCCAAATTAAACAAGAATCCAAATGTCTCTTCATAATGTTTAAATTGTTCAAAGCGAGTTTGAAGTGAAGATCGAGCTTGATCAATTATAAAGAGAAAATAAACAACTCGAAAAGATTCTTCAGCCGATTGTGTTACCTCTTCACTACCACTTTCATCAAAATGCCTCTTTCTTCAAATGCTACGTTTCTCTCGAAAAACAGCTTCAATGCCCATTTCAGTTGCCATTTGTTTAGCTTCATCCATGGCACCATCAAATCCAAATTCTCTATAATTTTCGAGAAACAAAATAAGCACTTGTAAAAGCTTGATGGCTTCATCAATATCCATGTTTTCAGCTTGGAAAAATTTACTCACGGTATTGATAGCATACAACAACTTATACCAAATGACCATGCCAAGCAAGAACTCAAAATTCTCAAGTTCATATGTTGCTAAGGATTTAGCTTCACTCTTCGTTTCAGCATCTTCAGTAATGTTTGCTAAGTCAAGTAAAGTGTCTCTTATTCGTACACATTGCTCCTTTATCGGCTTAACACTTTCCACATGACTTTCCCAACGTATTTGTGATAATGGCTTAAGTGTAAGACCTTCAACTTTATCTTTAAAAACTTTCCATCGTTTGGGAGAAGAAGAAAACAATGTGTACATACGTTGTATCACTCCAAAGAAAGACATAGCTTTAGAACAACAACTTGCCATATCACATATTGCTAGATTAAGACTATGACAACCATATGGAGTATAGAAAGCTCTAGGATTAATTTCAAGTAACCTTTTTGATACACCTCTATGTCTCCCGCTCATGTTAGCTCCATTGTCATACTCTTGACCTCTTATATTATCAATATCAAGCTCAATATTCGTTAGCATATTTTTAAACTCATTGAAAAGACCAAGTCTTGATGTATCATCCACCTTCAAAAATTCAATCCAATATTCTTGTACCATCGACGAGTTTGTTGCATCGTCCACGCATCGTATTACTAGAGACATTTGCTCCTCATTACTCGCATCTGGAGTACAATCAAGTATGACAGAAAAATATTTTGCAAGTTTCACTTTTGTGATAATTGCACTTTTGACCTCGCTTGCCAATGTTTGTATCAATTCATTTTGAATTTTAGGATCAAGGTATGTATATTGAATCTCGCGTGCTTGAGCACGTCGAATGTGTTCTTTCATTATTGGATCAAACTCAGCAACCATTTCTATCATTTGCAAAAAAAGTCCATTGTTCTAAACATAAAGTTGCCTACAATCTCCTCGAAATGTCAAAGTATTTTTAGCAAGCCTTTTCACAATAGAAATTATCCTCGTTAACACTTGTTTCCAATGCTCTCTTTCTTTGTTGATGGCCAATTGTACACTTTCATCAATTACATGTTTTGTTTGAAGCCTATTTTCTAGTTCCATCCAACTAGTCATGCAACTTATATGCTCCTTAGATACTTCATGAGTTGTAAGGCGTCGATACACATTATGCCAATCTTTGTATCCGTCATTACCCAATTGACCAATACTTTTCATCATTTTTTCTGTCTTAAATAGTTTACAGCAAAAACAAAAGATCTTATCTAAAGAAATCGAATACACTAACCATCTTCTATCGGTTGTCTGCCCATTTGCAAGTACTCGCTTATATTGTGATGATTCAAAATGTCTACCTTGACTATCTTTGGGAAATAAGATATCATCAACTTTTTTTGGACCCATTTCAACTAAAAAATGCCTTTTTTTTTTATCAATATAAACATCCTTCCAATTTCCAGGATCCTCAAAATTCAAAGTAAAGCAATTCGCTTGATTTAAATCTTCATCTTGAACATTATTTTCATCATTCTGCTTTGGTTCATCCACATTGGCAGGTTCAATCATTTCCTCGTTCTCTTTCCGTCCATCCACATTATTATTATCATTATCATTCTGATTCTGTTGTTCCTCAAAATCTTCATTCTCTTTTCTTTTCTTGTTATTAAAATATTTATCAATATCTCTAGT